GTCGAACAATGCAACCCCATGCTATTTTCTCCTCCTGCCTGGTATTGTTCGCTCCACTTTGCAAGTCCCTACAATTTTCCTCTTATATTTTTTTACGGGTCTTCCAGTCGAACATTATATACTCGCACGTCGTTTTGAATTTTTAATCTTCATAATTCATCACTATCATTGTTATCCTATCGAGAAAGAAAAAAAAAGTGGATAGCGATAAAACGGGAGAACGAATTGTAAACTTTATGTTTCTCTTTACAATTTTGTAAACATAAATCTATAATTGTGTATCTTATGTGTGATGTCAAACAAGTTTTTAATGATTTATCGCTCTCTGTCAATTACGTGCGAAGTATTTTATGTTTCAGTTTTCAGCAGATTATTTCACGATATTTCAAGGAAAATACATATGTCAATATTTGATGCTTTGTAAGTCGTTGATAGAGAATTCTTTGTTCTCGCAATTACGCAAATGATTGCTTCGAAGAAGTTTCTTTATAAAATTCGTTATTCGTCATCTTTGACATCTGGCTTGACGTGATGTGCCATTTTGCATAAATTATTTTGTTTTGTTGAATTAATTATTGTTAAAGTTTATCGGTATATTTACTTTGTATTGTACCATCACATTAATGTTGTAATGAGTTGAAGAATTGATGAATAATTTGAGCAGTTCTTTTCCAATCGAACAAACAATGTTTTTAAAACATTTTTTAAATATTCATTTTATATAAAAATATTAAATAAATATTTTTTAAGTGTTATGTGTAGATTGATTAGTGCACAGCTGATTGCTCTTCAAATTAACCATCTTCTAGACCTAACGATGAATTAGCCTGATGACTCTATAAAGTGCTTCTTTTTCATGCAATAAAAGTATTAAATGATAAAGTATTATTTTATAAAATTATTCCGAAATTATTCAGTTTTTCCCATACAAAGTCCCGCGATTATATCTTAATGATAACTGTGGATTAAACAGAAAGCAAGAGATCTGTTCAGCATTCACATGACGATGAACATCGCTAATCTGTCACATCGTGTTTCAAAATCAATTATTGGTCTTCATGTAATCATCGTAGTGACCTACAGTCTCAGCATAATTTTGCTTAATATTGAAGGTAATAACTTTAATATTGTACATCAGTTACTGTCATTTGAGGATTTATCCTAAGAGGATTTATCATCGTAATTGAAATAATTTGTAGAAAAAAGATGTACGCACATACATGCACGCACAAGTTAAAATTGTATTTAGTTAATAATAATTTAAAAACCTTTTAATTTCTTTATGGCTACAGTTTATTTTTGTATATTTTAAATATTCATCATCTCTAAAAAAGAATGATTTAACTAGAATCGCTTGTAATTCGACTATTCTAATAACGATGCGATTTGTTCTCGAAAGACTTCCTCTGTGTTCTATATGGTATTTTCTTATGCTTTTAATAAACTTATATATCTTTACTTATAATAAATACTTATTACTTATAGTATCTTTACTTATATATCTTTATCTATAGTAAATTTAATATTTGTACTTGCTTTAAAATGAACTTAATGCTAATAAACAATTCTTAATTGTCTATGTTGCTTCACATAATCTCGATATTATAACAGATTTTATTGGAAGAAATTATATAAATTATGAGAATGCATTGATTAATATACATTAAAATATAATACATTGACTAAAATGCATCTTTATCATCATTTTCCGCTTTTGTATTCAAAATAATCCAAATATGTAAAATTTACCGTGAACCATCAAACAATTTATTTTCCCGCCTTCTTTAGTGTATAGAGACTATAAATTAGATAATTAAATCATGATAATATCAAGTTATAGTATAAAATCAAAGTAATAATTAAAATAAAAATTGAAATAATAATATAAAATCATAGAAGATAATTAATAATTACAAACGGGACTTTTAGGAAAAGATAATTAGCAAACGGAACTTTTAGGAATCGGCGCTGTAATAATTGTATGTTTATTTCGATTGATGATAAAACAATCCTTTATAAATAATATATTTGTTGAAAGTTTCCGTTAACTTCTAGCCTTCATCAGCGAATTTATTATATAAAATCCATAAAAATCTTTATCCTAATCTTTATCCTTTATTATACTCCGATATCAAATTTCCCATAACTTAAAGTTTAATAACTTAATAATTAATAACTTAAATTTAATAACTTAAAGTAATAAGGATACTTATAAGCTGGAAGTCAACGATACTTTACCTTAAATATAATAAATGAATTAGAATCGAAAAATATGATGTGTCTTATGTTGGATAAACATATAGACAAAAACGAGGATTTTCGATCACAAAAATCATCAATAAAAATAAAACCAATTCTTCGGATTCGTTGTCACGAATCATAGGACATATCAAAATCATGTTTTGATTGGAATAACGTTCAAATATTAGACAAAGAATGTAATTATAATAAAAGACTAATATCAGAAATGATAAACATCAAGCGATAAAAGAATGATATTAATTTAAAAAGAAAGACACTGAGTTACTTAATTCTTCATATTTTTGTTTTTTGATCGATGACTAAAAGCTTATAGCTAAAAATAATACATTTTCATTACGATTAACACTGCAGCATGAACATCATCGTCTTATACAATATATATATTATATTTATTTAATTATCGTCATTTCGTTTTAAATTTCAATTCACGAGAAAAAGAATTTGCGTTATAACAACTATGGTATTAGGACTAATTTGTATTTGATGTACTCCTGAGGTAAATCTTCACAGCAATTCTTGTAAGTTTTTTAATATTTTTCGATTTTAATATTTATTTATTATATTTAAGGTCAAATATCGTTGATCATCCAGTTTATTAACTGATGGGACTTATGGGGAATTTGATGTGTAATCACAAGATGAAGATTTTTATGTAATACATTCGTTGAGGCTAGAATTAAAGGTTAGAAATAAAGGCTAGAAATTAGCCGAAATGTTCGACAAATATATTATTTATAGAGGATTGTTTTAATTGAAATAAACCCACAATTATTATAGCGCCGATTTCTAAAAGCCCATTTGTAATTTATTAATTGTTTTAATATAAGGAATATTATTTTATTTGTAAGTATCATAAGAGTAATAAAAAAATATAAATATACAATACAAAGAAGTTATTATTATTGTTATTTTATATGATACTTCAAATAATATTGTATTTACATTTAATATAATTAAATTATTTATTTTTTCTTTTACATGTAAAATAAAAAATTGAAAAAATATAAATTACATTATTATAAATATTCCTTCTTATTACATAATCAAATGTTACTTCAGAGTTTTATTAATGCTTAAATGGTATTGTAATGACTATTAAACAATCTTTTCTGAAAGATTAACGTAAGATCTTCACATTTTATAATCTTTTTTTTTATAACTTGTACAATACTTGTCATTTACGAGTAACTTTGTTATTCCGTAAATTTCACTCAACTCCGTTGCTATTCAAATATAAAACTTTACTCAGCAGTTTGCTTTCTCGTCTTCCTGGTTTACTTTTTTCATTAGAGTTATATCCAAAATTGTACGATTTATATATTTCAGAATAATAGTAGTGAACGCTGGCCATACACTTATTGTAAGGTACAAGGAAGAATATTCTTTGATATTGAGAAAATAAAATCTTAAAAAAAAAAATATCTCTTTCGTCTGTTCAATCTTTTCTCTTCTTCAAAAAATTCTCCCCCATTTACGGAAATACAAAACTTTTCTTATGATCACCGAACATGATTTTAATACTATATTCTGTCCACGTTTGCACGTGCTATGGTTGCTATCTGCTGTCACTTGAATTTTTAAAGGAAATAATGCATTGCCTTTTACTTCATTGTTTCGCTCGAGAATTCGAGAGGGACAGGGTCGTCCACCTGAAAACTTTTATTTTTTATCCACAATAGTGTACGCAATATGTGTACGTTCCGATCAAAATATTTAATAAGCGGTGGCTCATAGGAGAGTATCCACCACTCCCGGTCTCTTTCAAGTTCTGTTTGTATAGAAACACTATATCGTGCACATCATACGATCATTCAAGTGTTTCTTGTAACACTGTGCTTCTTGTAAACATTCTCTTCTCGATGCATATTAACAGTGTACAATAATAAAAAAATAATAGAAATATGAAAGTAAGGAATATTGTTAGCCCAGCTATAGAAATTTGGTTCCGAATTTTTGGCATTTGGCCAAATATGTCGTGTGCTTCGTTGTGTAGACTACTCTGGACTATCTTAATCATAATCGAGCAAATTTTACAATATCGATATATCATAATGCATTTCCATTTGATTGAGTTTACCGAGATAATGCATATTTTGGGTTCAACAATGACGTACACAATATTTTTAATTAAACTTGTCATTTTTTGGTGTAAACAGCGGTGAGATAAGCAAGATCGGTGACACATATTGATATGCACTATCAGATCGGTGAAAAATTTGTTTAAGATTATTTTATTTAATTATAATTAATTATACCATTTAGCCTAGTTAAATAAATAATATAAAATTGCATCTTAATTCGACAATTATTACGTTGGTCTGTAAAATAAATTATTTGACAAATGCAATGTGAACGAAACTAAATTAAAGACAAATTGCTAATAAATTAACTACTATACGCGATAAAAAAAATGAGAGGACACGCATCTGTAAATTTATTGCGCAACAATAAATTTTTCATCGATGTTTTTTTTAACGCTTCATTGATTATGACCATTGAAAACTATTCGTAGAACGTTCAACAGGATACTAATAATGATGGCAATTGATTGGGAAAAGTGTTTTAACACGAAATTCAGTATGTTCGCGATATGTAATGCCAAACTGTCACAGCGCTTTGTTAATATGACAGTGATTCTATATTCGACAACTGTACTTCTTATGAGTAGCAAGATTTTTCTAAAACATGCGGATGACAATATAGCTTCCAACATTTCTACACGATTGTTCATTATAGATATGGATCTACCATTTGATGCTAATCAAAGATTCGTATATGAATTAATCATAATTGCTCAATTCTTTTTTTCGTTGTTATGTGCCGATGCAAACTGCTTGTTGAATGCCCTGCTTATAAATCTGGTGAATCTTGCTGTGCAAAAAATATTGTTATCATTAATGTTATTATTTATTATTTCTACTATTTATTAAAATTAATCTTGATATTTTATTGATCCATCAGTTGATTAATCGAATGTACATGTATTGTTTTATACATTATCAAAAATAGTTTATGGAATTCTTAATTTATGCTGATTATAAAATTTTAAAAGATTATATGCAGGATATGTTTAATTTAAATAAGAAATTTAAATAATTTAAATATTATATTTATTTCAAATTTGAAAGTAATCGGCATGTAGTCTTTTGAAGCATATATTTAAAATAAATTACATATAAAATTAATATTCCAACATTCCAACTTTAACGCTTTTTTTACATAATTGATTAAAAATCTTTTTCTCGCAATTTCATTTAAATATGACAATTAAAAATAATGTGTATTTCAGATACTACATATAGGAGGCCAAATCGATATTCTTCGCGAAAACTTAAAGGAAATTTTTCCGAAGAATGACAAAAATCCAAGTCACTTTGAGGCGAAAGAAGCAATTAGAGAACATCAGAAAATCATTACGTTTTCAAAGTACATTGAAGATTTGTATTCATATATCGCTATGGTATTGTTCGTATCGGATTCGTTGATTATCTGTTGTTTGGGTTTTACAATTGTCGCGGTAAGTATTATATATTTTTGTATAATTCTACGGTAAAGAGAAATATACATTATAGAATTTTGCAGAATAAAAGAGCACTAATTCCTTTAAGTATTCATTACCTTATCACTTTTCCATTCCTCTTAGGACATTTCTTAATATTCCAGTCGATCGGTCGACCTGATGCTTCAGAAAGTATAATCAGAAACTTTTTGTTTTATGTCGTTATAAATATGGAGGCATTCATCTTTTGTTTTTCTGGAGAATATTTAAGTATTAAGGTTAGTTATTGAGACGAATATATGGTTTGCAATAAATAAGCAGAATATTACGTAATTCGTTTTCAAAATTATAAGATCCATTAATTCTCCATTTGCTCCAATAGAGCAAAAGCATCGGAGATGCTGCTTACGCTTCCTTCTGGTACGAATCAGATTCTAGAGATAGTCGAATTATATTATCTTTGATAATGAGGTCGCAAAATCAATTAACCATTACAATTGGAAGGATAATGAATTTGTCTTTGGGACAATTTACCACTGTAAGTTTATCTCAGAGAGATACATCATTTTACACGTAAAACTTTTAAACGCATATTTTACACTGAGAAGATATTCTATTAATAATTATCTAGAATAAATAAAAAGCAAAAAATTTGTTTTCCCTTCTTAAATTGTAAATAAACTATTATTTGAATTAATTTTCGTTGTATATATACATATATATTATAATAATCAAATAATACTTTTACAGATTGTAAAAGCTTCAGCCTCCTATATATCAGTTCTACTTGCAATGTATTGAAGCGGAACTGCATTCTATTTACATTATATTTTTAATGAATGTTAATAACTAGTAATTTGATATTGTTTAGTCTTAAAAAAATTTGCACATAATTTAAAAATGTCGAAAATTATTATAGTATTACTTATCATTTTTTTCCATATGTGTTACATACTTGCGTGTATGCGTTTTGGTAGTAAGAATAAACTCAAAATTGTAGATCAAGCAATAGATCAATAACTCGAAATGTTTATTAATTGATGAACAATGAAACACCGTGCTACTTTCTCTCCTTCTACTTGGCAACGTTACCGTGACTTTACAAGTTCTGACAATTTTTCTTTCATTTTTCCTCGAGTCTTCCATTCGTACATTATGCATTTGCTGTGCACGTGGCGTCTTGCATTTTTAAGTCTCATAATTCGTCGCTATCTCGTGTTACTTTGTCAAGAAAAAAAAAAGAAGAATAAGAAAGAGATAAAACAAGGACACAAATTTTGTAAATTTCTGATAACTTTTAAAGTTTCATAATTGTAGATCTATAGTTGTACATTCAAAAATTATAGGTGTAAATTCTTAACCTTGTAATGTTTATATAAGTCTCATCGAATGTTGACAGAATTATATTTAACATCTATGGAATTAAATCCACATCTATACTTTTAGAATATGTATTAAGTGTTATTTTATGCCTGCTTTCAAGAGAACATTTAATGATTAATTGTTTTCGGTCAATTGTGAATATGCTTTTGCGTTCTTTAGTGAATTATATATCACAATATTTTTCGTAAAATTAAGGAAACACGGCAAATCTAATATTCGATGTCTTATATTATTATATAAAATCATTGATATCATAATAAATTCTTTTTTTCACAATTTTACGTTGCTACGAGTACAGCATTTCTCTATAAAATTTGTACTTCGAATCTTAATATAATATCTGAATCGACATGTTGTAAACCATTTCGCATAAATTGTTTTGATTCGTGAAATTAATTGTCGTTATGATATGTCGATATATATACGTTTATTTCATATTTCTTCGTCGCATGCAACGAGCTAATGGATTTGATGAATAATTTCAGCAACTCTTTAGCGTACAGTCTATTGCTATTCAAACTGATTCTCTTTTGGAATCATCAATGAATTAACCTAATTATTCTCTATATCGCTTTTTTTTGTGCAATACAGTATCAAATAATAAACTATAAACGGCTTGAACTTATTTTATAAAGTTATTCAGAAATCATTTTTTTTATATAAAATATTTCGTGATATCTTATAATAGCCATGGATTGAATAAAAGAAGATTCGAAAGATCTGTTTAGCATGCACACGAATATAGTTAATCGATCACAGTGTTTCGAATGCTATAATTATGAGTCTTTGCACAACGGCCACAATAATCTATATCTCGATCAAAAAGTGATAATTTTAATATATCAACTTCGTTCGGGTTTATCCTGAAGAATAAATTTCCCTTCGACAGTTTACGACAATTTAAAAAAAAACAAAACTTTAGTCATATGAAATTTCTCGTCGCCATGAAAAATAATATCAAGTTTTTATTTTTTTAATTTAAAATTATTTTATATTAATAATATATAAAAATTGATTATTACACGATATAGACAATTCTTTAACAAAAAATTTCCACAATGTAAGTAATAAATAATTATTAATTTTATTTAATTAAATTTTCCTTAAACATCTGCAATTCTCTTCACTCTTCTCTACAGCAAAGTCATCGAAAATGTATAAGGTAAACATCCCAGTAATCGGACATGTATCTATACTTAAATAAAATTTAATATTATTAATCTCAAATATTTTTTTAAATATAATATTATAATATTATAATTTAATTGCAAATAATAATTTTTTTAAATATAACTAAATTACAATAAAAAGATCATTTGAAATTAATAATAATAAATTATGTGTAAGTCCGGACAATAGGAACACGTCCGATCATTGGGACGTTTACCTTAGAGTATTTCGAAAAGCGTGTAGATTCTATGATCACAAGTTATAGTACAGCATTAGGCATATATCAGACTATTATTGGAGAAATAAGAAGTTACCACAACTCGAATATACTGCAACAGTATCATTTGTGTTTATCACATATTCGCAATTCTCCCACTTTCCTCTAATATCATAATACATATACTCTAATCACAGTAAAATTATAAAATATATAATAAAAAAACTCAGTACTAAACAACAGTATTAAACAAATTATTGCTCTTATGGTATTATAAATAATATACTATTTATATTTCTGATATAATTAAATCGATTAATTTTTCACGATTAAAATATTGATAATAATAATTACTTAACCAATACTCTACTCGCATAAACAGATATTACTTTACATTTTTATAATATTGTCATTATAACATTTATTTATTACAATCTTTTATCGAAGATACATAAGCTCTTTACATTTTACAATGTCCTTTAGTCCAAATCTACAATAGATGATAAAACTCATAAGAAATTAACCAATTACAACCGAATGCAAAAAGAATAATCGATGTGATTTATCCATTTCTTATGGCTTAAAAATCTATTATAAATCCGGTTAATTTATTGCTTATAAGTATTATGCTTGTCGTTTGCAAGTAATTCCATTTACTACTGGAATTTAAAACTTCACTCAGCACTTCGTTCTCCGTTTCCTGCTTCTGACTTACTTCTTCACAAACATTGCGCAACCTAAATCTAACATGCATCAGAGTTCCAAAATAATACGATTTACATATTTCAGGAGAATGAATTGTTAATGCGCGTGCACACTAGCCACTTATAATGAGTGAGGAAAAATATCCTTCAATATTGAGGAAATAAAAGAGAAAGAGAAAAATATTCTTGGAAAGAGAAAAATATTCACTTGTTCCACCCTCTTCCTCGAAAAAGTCTTTTTTATTCACGGATATACAAAACTTTTCTTACAGTTACCGAGCATAGTTTAACGTTCTGTGAATGTCGCGTGTGTTGCTATCTGTTATTGCTTGAATTTTTAAAGAAAATAATGCATTACGAGCTACACTGCCATTGAATTTGCCTAAGAATTTGAGAGGGAGAACGTCGATCATCCGGAAATTTAATTTTTTTTATCGACAATATACACGCAATCTGTACACATTTAAATATTTAATATGCGATCAAAATATTTAATAAGCCATGTGAGAGGGTGCCTCTACTCTCGTTCTCTTTCAAGCTCTCAGTTTGTACAAAGACATTACATCGTGCACATCATACGATCTATCAATTGTTTTTCGTAACTCTTGTTTTTTTTCTCTTATCGGATTCGATGCATATTAACAGTGCAAAATAATAAGAAAATAATAATAATAATATATAATATGAAAGTAAAAAATACTGTTAGCCCAGCTACAGAAATTTTATTTCGTATCTTTGGCATTTGGCCGAATACATCGTTCATTTTGTTATGTAGACTATTCTGGACTATTTCGATCGTATTCGAGCAAATTGGTCAATATCGATACATTGTAAAACATTTTCATTTGATGGAGCTTTTCGAGATAATAATAATTTTAAGTTTAGCAGTGACAATGACGAGATTTTTTATTGTACTTGTCCTTTTTTGGTATAAGCAGCGGTGAGATACGCAATAGTGAGATACATAGTATAAGTACTATCAGTGAAAAATTTATTTTAAACATTGTTTAATTTATCCAAATTAAATTAATTAAATAAATTTAGCATTACGTTTTATTTCAACAATTGCCACTTTAGATGATAAAGTTATTTATTCAGCAATTGCAAACGTTAACAAAATTAAAAACAATTGCTGTATTGAACAAATTATTATATACAAAAATAAAAGATAAATGGACATACATTTCGAAACTTACTGCATAACGATAAATTTTTCATCAATGATTTGCATAATGCTTCATTGCGGGCTTATGATTATAACCAATAAAATTATTTGTAGAACATTCAGTAAGATATTAACGATGATGGCAATTGACTGGGAAAAGTGTTCCAGCACAAAATTTAGTATGTTCGTGACATCGTATAATGCCAAACTGTCGGAGCGCTTTGTTAACATGATGATAATTCTTCATTCGATAGCTGTAATTCTCTGTAACACTCACATCCTTGTGAAACACGTGGATGATGGCAATGCTTCCAATGTTTCCACACGATTGTTCGTTTTAGAGATGGAGCTGCCATTCGACGCTAATCAAAGATTCGTATATGAATCTGTCATAATTATCCAATTTTTTCATTTCTTGTTGTGTTCTAATGTTGTGAGCGTATTCAATGCTTTTCTCATAAATCTGGTAAGTTCTATGTAAATAGATATTGTGTCTATGTATTATTTTTATTATTCATAATATTAATTTTTTGATATTTTAATAATTTGTGATTAATATCAATTTATTGATGAAATATTTGATTATTGTCCATATTATAAAAAATAATATATAGACCATTCTGCTGCTTTTTTAATATTTTAAAATATTTTGTACGGCATTAATTAAATTTATGTTTTAAAATATTTTTTCTCAACATTAACACAATAGTTCCATAAAAGAATGTATACATTTTAGATATTGCATATAGGCGGTCAAATTGATATTCTGCGTGAGAGTTTGCTGGGAATTATTCCGAAGAAAGACAAGGACAGCTCGAGTCATTTCACAGTAAAAGAAGTAATAAAAGAACATCAGAAAATCATTACCTTCTCAGAGCATATTGAACATCTGTATTCGTATATCGCGATGGTGCTGTTTGTATCGGATATTCTGATTATCTGCTGCTTAGGTTTTACAATTGTCGCAGTAAGTATTATAATTTTGTTTAAATCAACGATGAAAAGCAATATATACCTATAGGAACCGCTGTTGAATTTGTATAAAGGAGAACTATTTCATGCTTTTAATTATTCAGCATTTTGTTACCTTTCCGTTACTCTTAGAATATTTCTTAATATTCCAGTCAATCGGTCGACCCGACGTTTTGAAAAATATAATTAGAGTCCTCTTATATTACTTCGCCATAAATATGGAAGCATTCATATTTTGCTTTGCTGGGGAATACTTGAGCGCTAAGGTTAGACATCAGAACGATTATATTAATCATGATAATATAATATCATTATACACACATAATTGTTTGTATATCCGCACACACACACACACACACACACACACACACACACACACACACACACACACACACACACACACAGAATCCCATTTTAAATATCTTAAACATATCTTGAAAAATGCGTATGTAAAAAATGTTTCAAATGAAAATAAAACTATTTCGAGAGAGAACGAATTTGATTCATGTTGTTTTTTATTGATGGGTAAATCAAAAAGACATGAAGGTCCTCCACTTTTAAAATGATTTCTCTACAAAATATTTTTTAATTATTTTGTTCATGAAAGTATTAATTTATGGTTATTAAAAAGTAGTATATGAAACATTTAATATTTTATGTCATGTAATGCCAGAATATGATATAAAATATCTTATAAACTAATAATTTTTTTGATATTTACATTTTAATATTTTTACATACAGAATAATTAGAGAGATTATATTATTAAAAAATTATATAATTCTATTTAGAAAAGTAGAGTAATTTTCATATCTTTTTAATGCTTTTATGAAAAAACACAAACGTTACTAAAATAAATACCTCTCACGAAAACGTTTCATTTTCATCTGAAATATATTTTCGCATCATACATGTTTTTCAAAATATTTGCTAATTATTAATCTGTCATATATAAATGTTACAAGAATAATTATTTAATAGAGTAAAAGCATCGGAGATGCTGCCTATGCTTCCCTCTGGTACGAATTAGATTCTAGAACCAATCGAACTATGTTATTTTTGATAATGAGGTCGCAAAATCAGTTAACAATTACAGTTGGAAAGATAATGAATTTGTCTTTGGAACGATTTACTAGTGTAAGTCTATTTCATATTTATACGTACAGATTTTGCATAAATAATTATTTTGTCCATAATTATCTATAAATATAAAGTGAGCTTACTCTTTTTAAAATAAAATAAAATAAAATAATATTATCAATTACAATAATAAATGATTTTATTAAGACTATAATGAAATTAAATACTAATAATAAGTAAGCATACTCAATCTTATAACGGTCAAAGCTAGATCTTTCAATGCCTAAATAATTCAAAGTGAATTATTTATTATATATTATATATGTACATATATATGTATTATATTTTGTAGTTATTCAAACTGCGAGTGGAATTTTTTCTGAACTTACAAACGCAATTAAACGTAAGACCTCGATAGTCTAATGGCTTAGGACGCTCGTATGGAAAACAAGAGATTCGGGTTCAAATTTCGGCCAAGATAATATTTTTCGCAATGAATTTATGTAAAGTTTTTCAGCACATTAACATCCTCCTAATATGATACCTCCTAATATGATGAGATTGAACATCAAAACTTGCTTGTCAATTTAATTTAATTTGTGATATTATTCCAGTAGTTTAATTGCGTTTGTGTTTGGAAAAAATTCGACGCCCAGGTTAAATAATTATTAATTATGATATAGATGCATGTACATTAGACTGCCAAAAAAAAATTTTTTTTTTTAATCGAGCACTTAGCTCAAAAGCTTCCATTTTATGCCAAAAGAACACCCTTAAATTTTTATCAAATATTATTAACAATTTGGAGATCGCTTAGTGAATGATTTTTTAATCAAAGTTTCGATTTTCCTTAATATATTTAATTTGATACAAAAATGGCTTAAACCAGATTTTAAAAGGATATTGTATATTTTTTTGATTGTTGAACACGATGCAATAATTCATTTAACTCTATGATATATGCTTTAAGAAATACAGCCCAATTAAAAGATTACCAATGAAAAGATTACCAAATTTCGAATACAAGGTTGATTTTAATAAGGTTCCAAGTGTTTAAATAGATTGCTCCTCTCAAATTGTAGGTCTGTTTACCCAGAACAAGATCAGTTGGAATCTTTTACAGGATCTTTAAAAATTGTATTTAATTGAATTATAAAACGTTTTTATGGCTAGGAAAATTTTTTACAAATCCTAAAGTATCGCTTTGTGGTTTTGGCATCCTCCAAATCAAACTTGGCAATAAAAAAGCTCTTTATACAAAATTAAATGAGTACTTAACACAAAAAAATATGATTTAATTAATTGAAATAAGCTACATATAGTACATATTATATAGTTTCAATTAATTAAATCATATTTTTTTGTCTTATGTACAGAAATATGAATTCCTGATTCACATATATTTTTATTCTTGAATGCTATTTACTTTCATTTAAGTATAAAATCCTCTTCAATTATAAATGTTCACTGTACCAAAATTAATAGATTTATACAAAGTATGTTTTATTCTTAAAATTATTCTTTCTAAAATCATTATATGGTTCTAACAAACTCAATCGCATTACTTACAAACTATTTATTCTTGGATTAAGAATTATAAATTTGAAAATTCGCCGGCAACAGTGTATACAAGAGCCCTTTAGTATATCAAGATGTCAAAAGTGGGGTGTAGTGAATGACGATTGACAGTGATTTTGTAAGTGAATTATTGCATTATTCGTGAAATATTCCACTAAATGTGGTTCAATCTTTAAGGGCGGATGAAATATTCAGCTCGTCCTAATGTTTCTGTCAGTTATATTGTAAATGGGGATGCGCGAACAGCCGGCTTTGTCATTGCGACGTGACGAAGAGGCGTCTATACACGCGGGCATTTTCCGTGGCGGATTCGCGGATCTGCTACCCAAAGTTAAATGGGTGAGATGAGCAATGAATCCGTCATGGCGGATTCGCCTGTATATGCAGCCAATGTTCTCTATCATTGTGACGAGGTTGACCGTCTGTTTGCATCCTTATTTGCAATATGGCTAACGGAGATTGATAGAATCTCAGCATTTCACTTACCTTTGAGTTACATTAATAGAGAGTATAATTCAAGTTTGAGAGTATAATTCAGTTTTTCCTTGGGAGCTTGTGCACATTGGCATGCTCTATAAATGTGGTACTTCATTTACAAAGTTATCGTCACTGCAGCAATGGTTTCTGTCTTGATGTTCCTAAAAGCATACTCAGGATTTGAAATAAGTTGACAAAAGATATAATAAAAGAAAAAATAATGCAATATAATATAAGCATATTTAATATTGAACAAATGCAATTTTATTCTTTTATTGAAATAAAATTTATTTTGGGCTAAGAATAAAATTTATTTTACTTTACGTTATATAATTTATTGTTAATCGGAAATTGTTAATTCTTAATTTTAAAGCATTTATGCATTTCTTAAAGAATTCATTTTTTTGTGTGTACTCATTTCCAGTTAAAATTTTAACTGTAAAGTTAATTGTCTAACAAATTTATGGTACATTATAAAGAAATTAGAGAATTATGTGTGTTTATCAGATCTGTATTATGTGTATTATGTGTATTAATCAACATATACTTATTCGTAATGATTTGTAATAGCCAGTTCTCTAAACATTTTAATTAACAACAATTAAAATAAAATTTAATTTTTTATAATAAAATTTAAACATAAAATATAACCTTAATCACATTAAATTGTCAAATAAAACCACATAAAAAACGTCAATAGAATCAAATTTTATTTAAGCGTTGAAATTTAATTGTTCACTTTAATAATTGGTCTAATTTATTATATAAAATATTTCGAATAAAATATTTTTTATAACCAAGAAACTGTAAATAAAATAGTAATGCGAAGATTAAAGTTAAGAACTTATGACTTATACTTATGACTTATTTTTAAAAAATATCTGATTCTTATTATTTTATTTACGTAGACCAAAAGCAACATACAAAATAATTTTACTTTTAATACGAAAATGGAAATAGCGTACATATTTGGCAGTCGGGATTAGTATTTAACATAATAACATCTCCGTTTGTGTCCGCGCCGTTTTACAAAAACATATAGACATATCCGCATTTCAATTATTAAAATGTTTGCATATTACATTTTGCCTTTTGCTCTATTTTTGTCCTATATTTTTTTATACTCGTTATTTATTAATAAGAAATAATATTTATTATAACATTTATTATAATATTTACATTGTTTTAAATTATTAAAATAAGTCAAATGCTAAACAAATCAATTTTTACATTAATATTTAATTTAAATATTTAATTTTTATGTACATTGATATTTTATAATAATCGAATAATGTTATTACAGATTATAAAAACTTCAGGGTCCTATATATCCGTCCTACTTGCGATGTATTGAAGCTATATTATATTTACATTCAATTTCTAACTAGCGTTAGCAGTTATTGTTAATAGGTATTGTTTAATTATTAGAAAATTTGCACATAGATTAATATTAACAAAATCCGTTGAAGTATTACTTACCATTTTCTTTTATTTGTTACACTTGCACGCGTGTTTATGTTATGTATTAATAGAGAATAAGAATATATAAATTCAGACTGTCAAGTATAGATCGATAATTCAAGATACGCAATGTTTATTAAATGAAATTGAACAATATACAATCCTGTACTGCTTTTCTCTTTCTCATGCATAACATTGTTCTTTATGATTTCCGATAATGTTTTTTTTTATTTTCGAGTGGTATTTTATTTTAATATTGTATACTTGCAGTACGTACGACGTTTTGCATTTAAATCTCACAATTTGTTGTTCTGATCTTATCCTATCATGAAACAAAGAAAGAAGAAAAAAAAAGGGATAAATGAGGTTAAAAATACCTTAACTTTCTGTTTCTTTATACAACTTTGTAATCGTAGATCTACAATTATAACTGAATAAATAAAGATTTCTATAAATAAAAGAATAATTATTAGTTTTATCTAACCTTGTTTTCTTAAAAATTTGCAAATCTCTCCATTCTTCAATACAACAAAGTCATTAAAAATATGCAATGTTTATTATGAAAAGTATGTACATTCTGTGATCATGACTTATGTACCACACTATATAAGGATGCATTGGAGAAAAGTTATCTCAATTCGAATATACTACAAATATACTACAATAGTTACATTTATGTGTTTGCAATTCTTCTACTTTCCTTTAATAGTATAAAATTATAATACATTTTTCTTACATACGTAAGAAAAAAATTAATAATAAATAGTATTAAAGCAATTACTATTTATTATGATATTATAAATATTTCATTTATTTTAATTATAATTAAATCAATTTTTCTTTTACGCTCAAAATAATGATAATAATAATTATCATATAATATATCTAGTTCACCTTTGCATAAACAGATATTTGCTTACATTTTTGTAACGCTGACACAATGTTATAATATCAAAACAATCAAAACAATTTATCAAAGATTGACATAAGCTTTTTGTATTTTAAGATACTGTTTATAGCTTATAAGTACTATGCTTTGTCAAGAACGCCGTTATTACTGAAATAGAAAATTTCACTCAGCATTTTGTTCTCCATCTCCTGCTTCTGATTTACTTATTCACGATCATTGCACGCAACTTGTATCTGACGTGCACCAGAACTTCTTCCAAAATTATGCGATTTACATATTTCAGAAGAATGAATTGTAAATGCGTACACACTAGCTGCACTTACATAATGCGCGAGGAAGAATATCTTTCAATATAGAGGAAATAAATTCTCAGAAAAGAAAAGCTTTCGCTTTCTCCATCCTCTTTCTCGAAAAACTCTCTCTTATTCACGGATATACAAAACTTTTCTTACGGTCACTGAGCATAGTTTAACATCCTGTGAACACTCCGCGTGTTGCTATCTGTAGTTGCTTGAATTTTTAAAGAAAATAATGTATTATGAGCTACACTGCCGTTTCATCCAAGAATTCGAAAGGAAAATCGTCGGTCATCCAGAAATTTATTTTTTTTTATCGACAATAACATATAACACGCAATCTGTACACATTACGATCAAAATATTTAATAAATAGTGGTTCATAAGAGAATGCACTCTCGTTCTCTTTCAAGCTCTTAGTATGTACAAAGACACTGCATCATAAACATACGATCGATGAAGTGTTCTCTGTAATACTGTGTCTTTTTAAAATTCTTTTTCGGATTTGATACATATTAACAGTGCAAAATAATAAGAAAGCAATAACAATAGAAATATGAAAGCAAAGAATACTGTTAGCCCTGCAGCAACCGAAATTTTGTTTCGTATCTTTGGCATTTGGCCAAACACATCGTTCATTTTGTTACGTAGACTATTCTGGATTATTTCGATCGTATTCGAGCAAATTGGTCAATATCGATACATTGTAAAACATTTTCATTTGATGGAACTTTTCGAGATAATAATAATTTTAAGTTTAGCAGTGGCGATGACGAGATTTTTTATTGTACTCGTCCTTTTTTGGTGTAAACAGCGGTGAGATACGCAGTGGTGAGATACATAGTATAAGTATTATCAGTGAAAAATTTCTTTTAAACATTATTTAATCTATCAAAATTAAATTAATTAAATAAATTTAGCATTACGTTTTATTTCAACAATTGCCACTTTAAATGGTAAAGTGATTTATTCGGCAATTGCAAACGTTAACAAAATTAAAAACAATTGCTGTATTAAATAAATTATTATATGCAAAAATAAAAGATAAATGGACACACATCTCGAAAGTTATTGCATAACAATAAATTTTTCATCGATGATTTGCATAATGCTTCATTGTGATTGTTATCATGATTATAACCAACAAAATTTTTGTAGAACATTCAGTAAGATATTAACAATGATGGCGATTGATTGGGAAAAGTGTTCCAGCACAAAATTCAGTATATTCACAACATACAATGCTAAACTGTCGGAGCGCTTCGTTAACATGACGGTGATTCTTTATTCGATAGCTGCAATTCTTACTAGCACCAAGATCTTTGTAAAACACATGGATAGCGGCAATGTTTCCAACATTTCCACACGATTGCTCATTGTAGAGATGGATTTGCCATTTGACATTAATCAAAGATTCGTATATGAATCTGTCATAATTATCCAATTTTTTCATTTATTGCTGTGTTCCAACGTTATGGGTGTATTTAATGCTTTACTCATAAATCTGGTAAGTTCTATTATATAAGTAGATATTGTTTCTATGTATTATTTTTATTATTCATAATATTAATTTCTCGATATTTTAATAATCTTAATATATTAATAATCAATTAATATCAATTTATTGAAATGTTTGGTTATTGTCTATATATAAAAAGTAATATTAGGTATAGCAAAAAGAAATCCATTATTTTTCCATTTAATTTCATGCAAAAATAATGGATTTTTTTTTACTACATCTAATATATAGACCATTCTGTCATATGCGGCTTCTTGAATTTTAAAATATTTTGTACGGCATTAATTAAATTTATGCATTAAAATATTTTTTCTCAACATCCATTAGCACAGTTCATAAAAAAATGTATACATTTTAGATATTGCATATAGGCGGTCAAATCGATATTCTGCGTAAGAGTTTGATGAGAATTGTTCCGAAGAGAGACAAGGACAGCTCGAGTCATTTCACAGTAAAAGAAATAATAAAAAAACATCAGAAAATCATTATCTTCTCGGAGCATATCGAGCATCTGTATTCATATATCGCGATGGTGCTCTTCGTATCGGATATTCTGATTATCTGCTGCTTAGGTTCTACAATTCTCGCAGTAAGTATTATAATTTTGTTTAAATCTACAATGAAGAGCAATATGCATTATAGGAACTGCTGAATTTGTAGAATAAAGGAGAATTATTTTGTGCTTTTAATTATTCAGCATTTTATCTTTCCATTGTTCTTATAATATTCCTTAATATTCCAGTCAATCGGTCGATCCGATGTTTTGAAAAATATAATTAGAGTCCTCTTATTTTATTTCGTCATGAATATGGAAGCATTCATATTTTGCTTTGCTGGGGAATATTTGAGCGCTAAGGTTAGACATCAGAACGATTATATTAATTACGATATTATAATATTATTATATAATTGTTTATATATATATACACACATACGCATACACACACACATATATA